TAACGCACAAACACTAAAAGTGTGGAAACTAGGCTTATATATATATATATATATCATATGATCAAGTGTTTTCTTAACAGAAAATTAAAATAATTTAAGAGAAAAATAATGTTTCTGCATGAGGCCTTGATTCCTATTACAAATGGTTGTATAAAATACCATGATCCATGCTTGTTAAACTGGTACATCTCTTGAGTTTTGTAGCATGAATGTGAACTGTTGCACATCCACATCCACTGTTTTGTACACATTACATTGCATTTTTTTACACATAGCATCTGGCGTGATCTCCAACAGAATAGTTACCGTTGACGACAAGCGTGATGTTGAGCCTACTCTCCAGCACAGCGGCACTGTTTCTCAGCACCACAGTGTAGAGCCCAGAATCCTCCTGACAGACATCCTTAATCTCCAGAGCATGGTTAAGGTGTATCCTCATCCTTTTCATCTTGAACTCTGGGCGTTGGTTTATCGACTTTCCATCTTTATACCTGGACACAAGGCACAGCTGCTACACTGCAGGATACAACCCAGCTGAGGTGCTCTGCCTTTTAGATACATCTGTAAACCTAAGCAGCATGAAGCCTGATTATGCTATTGGAAAAAGCCCATTACATTCAATGAATACACCAGAGTGTTGTCTTACCATTGCGTTTCGGGTGGTGGGAAGGCAGACACATTAACTTGTAGTTTAAATAACTTCTGGCCAGCTGTAACCTCCACCACTGCTCCATTTCTGTAATTGAGGCTGATGAATGGCTTTTCTGAAAGAAGAGACATTCACTCATATACAATCTGTGTCTAAAGCACAAAGAATTCTCCACTAATAATCTTTCTCAAGCTTTAGTTTAGAAAAGTCCACAAAAAAGATCTCAAATCTATCCTCTGCTGTTCAAACATTCAGAATCTTCACTTTATTGCTTTACCTATGAATTGTTAAAAACATAAGGAGAGGTTTGAGAATTTTCTAGGAATATATTTTCACACACCTTGCTGTGCAACCCAGTCTCACAGCATTTCGTATAGTCATAACATTTAATCTATTGATTCGTGTTCACCAACACGATTTCCCCCTTTTTTTTTTTCGTGTCACACAGAACGATTTTAAAAGCAATGTATTTCTATTGGTAGTATGTTTCGTACCTGCACCACGTCTTTTTTTCCGGTCGGGTCTTGGAAGACCGGAAGCTGTGTGGTTCATAAAAACATGTTCATACTCAATATCAAGCCACGATTATTGTTTTTATTTTAAATCGTATAATGTCGCACTTTTTTTGCCGTCCGTGAGGAAAATAAATGGGGTTCAGAGCCTCAGAATACTGAAATCTGTAGTTTTTTTAATCTTTTTTTCCTTCTAATTTGTTATTCTTTTCGAAATAACACACTGTTATTTACTCAACAATAACACACAATTATCCTTGTTTTTATTTATTTGTTTAATTCTATAATCTCGGGCTTTTTTAGCGTCCGTCAGGACTGAATTTCAAAATAAAAATAACCGGAAACAGACGTAGGCCTATATGGGACATTTTTAGCATTATTGCGATACACACCCACTGAACTGATTACCCAAGATCCTCAGCTATGGTTTAAGCTCGGTGATTGGATGTTTTAGCCGCAATGCACGTTAGAATATGGTGTTACGGTGAGTGAAGCAAGCAGGACCCAAATGCAGATAACGCTGAAAATGCCTTTATTTCAAGGATAATCTAGACAACTTGGACAAAACAGAAAACTCAGTCACAAACAAAAGACGAACCAACACTGAACACAGGAAGAGACAAGACTAAATACAGGGAGCGGTAATCACAAGACGAGAAACAGCCGGGCAGGGGAGGAGAAACACAAGGGCAACAGGTGAACACAATCAGACAATTAGACACACCAGGGAAAATAACGACAGGGAGGAAAAACACAGAGAGAGGGACCAGACAATACACAAGGGAGACCGGGAGAACCGAACAGCAAAATAAACCCAAACCTAGACATACAAAACTAAAAACGTGACATAACATGAGAATCGTGACATATGGTGTTAATGCGACATGAAATCCGAAAAACATTTCGGAATTTAGGATGGCCGAAGACACTACACTACCCATAATCCTCAGCTATCGTTTGGGACTACAGTCCCTTTGCTTGAAAAACCCTGTGATTAATCAAGCACTGGGATTGGATGTTGGAGTGGCAGTGCGCCAAGGTTATGCCGAGCATCAAACAGCTCTTTGAAATAGAACGAAACCACGGGAGACTATCCAAAACTGGATTCGAACGGGACCAGCCCGCCCCCCCAAGAACTACACATGCTGGCTATTCGCAAAATGTTCTATGGGACGTCTCTACTGGGAACGTTTTCGTTTTTCCCAAAATTAGAAGTTGCCAGTATTAAACACAGTGGTGTTATCAAATTTAAAACATATAATTAATAAATGGGTGAAAATTGCTTGTGTCCTACATAATGGGCAGAATTAATATATACCCACATGACAGCTCATTGTTACTTTGTAATTCTACTCCACTACAATTCAGAGGTTAACCTGGTATTTTTACTCCACTACATTTATTTTAGTTACTTTGCAGATTCTGATTAATGATGTGAAATATAAACAACCCTTAAATCAGACTTTAGTTACACCTGAGTAAAATTCAGGGAAGTTGATTGTCAAGTGCCAACAATCAGGAGAGATATTTGATAGTTAGTGCTTGAGAAGACTAAACATTTATCTGCAGATCCTTATAAAGACATTTGTTGTGTCTCGTCAAATGTGTTAGCTATGTATTATGTCTGTCATTTCATGTTTTTTCACGTCTGGTCATGTCTGTTTATATTAGGTAATTTAATCTCTAGTCAGTCTCTGTGTTTATTGTCATGTCTCGTCTTCCATTTCCTGTTTTATTTTGTGCTTACCTCTTGTATTTTATTTCAGGCCCTGTTTCTCCCCCGTCTGCCCCGCCCCTGATTGTTTCCACCTGTTCCCACTCACCTCATGTTTAAATAGTCCTGTCTTCCCCTGTCCTGTGTCAGTTTGTCTTGTTTGTTTCCCCAAATGGTCATGCCAAACCTCAGCTCAGAAAAGGATCGCTTTTAACTCATGTCAGGTTTTGTTTATTTTGTTGGCTTAAGTTTTTATTAAGTCCTCCTTTTGTTATGCTAGTTTTTTCCTCCTTGTGAGCGCTTTTTGTTATCTGTTAAGAGGGATTACCTGAACTGTGAAATAAATATACTTTTATTTATATATAAGACTTTGTCTCTGGGTCGTGCATTAGAAATTGCAATTAGAAGGAAGAAAAGATTTAAAAAATACAGATTTCAGTATTCTGAGGCTCTGAGCCCCATTTATTTTCCTCGCAGACGGCAAAAAAAGTCCGACATTATACGGTTTTAAAAATAATAACAATAATCGTGGCTTGATATTGAGTAAGAACATGTTTTTATGAACCCCACAGCTTCCGGTCTTCTAAGACCCGACCGGACAAAAAGACATGGTGCAGGCACGAAACACACTACCATTGCTTTTAAAATCGTTCTGTGTGACATGAAAAAAAGGGGAAAATCTTGTTGGTGAAAACGAATCAATAGATTAAATGTTGTGACTATAACACGAAATGCCGTGAGACTGGGTTGTGCTGTGACCTCATTTAAATTAGAGCCACCCTTCATGTCTACATTACAACATATTTGTATTTGATGCAGGATTCCTGAAAGCAAGGCTATATCATTTTTCAGGAAATAAATGATTTGTTCTTCTGAAATGAGATTTCTAAGCAATAAAACACCCCTGCTCTGTTTAACACCCTCAGGGATTTTTTTTTTCATTAGAGCCTTTCTTGGAATGATATGACAAGTAGCTTATGATGTTTAATGTAAGCTAGCAAAGTGACAAATGTTTAATATTGCTCTGTAGTGGACATTGCTGAGTGTCCTGCTTACTGTTACACCCTAGTATTGTTACATTGCAAATGTATCATTTACCAGCATCACAATAATTTCAAGTTACATAGACATGCTTTGTATTTATCCATGCTAGCAGCAGGACTCTCTCTGCCCGGTCCGTGGGTCGGCCCATCACTTTGGTCCAGACTTAAATATCTCACTAACTATTGGATAGATTGCCAAGGATTTATGATGGACATTTACGGTCCTTCGAGAATGAATTTTTCCCCTGACACGAAATGCATCATTATTTGCTAACTAGCTAATGTTAGTATACACGCTACACTCAGATGTAGTAGTTAACATTGAGTCAGTGTTTAAGATTTTAGGGGAATTCATGTGAGAAATTGAATATACTCATAACTTTGTTTGCAATAATTGTATATAATTACCTAAAACCAAATTTATTTGGGCTGTCATTATCTTAAAATAATGTATTTATTTCTACAAAGAGGCCGACATGTTTCTACACTATTGAAAACTGTGGCTCTAGAGGGGGCCTTTCCTGCTTTAACCTTACCTTAAGGCCACCATAGCTTCTCCAAGAAATTTGGAAAGGGAGGGCTAAGCGAAATGGTATTCACTTGGTTGCAATCTGCAACCTCACCACTAGGTGCTACTTCATCCTAAACACTGGTCCTAATGTCATTTAGTTAGCATGTTGAAGTTAGCATCCAGCCTCACATAGCTGCTAACACAGGTATTTTTGTAATGTACAGATACTCATGACAAGTGTGATATTTAGGGTAGAAAACAACTGATCTTACAAACAAGAAAAAGGCAAAGTAGTGAACTGCACCATTCTGAGCTAGTGCTTACCATAAACTATGACCTGAGTTTGCCTGGTTATGGTTGTTCCCACGATGGTGACGTTGCAGATGTACGGGCCAGTGTCTCTGACGTTGACGCTGTAGATGGTGAGGAAGCTAACAGCCTCTGTGGCGTGAGACAGAGCTTCACGAGAGGGCTTAGTGTCTTCCCTACTGTTCGGCTGGTGAGAGGAAATTACATTTAAATTTGTATTTACTGGTGCCATTCATCATGACCAACTCTCGCTGCCTCATACCTGTTTGCGGGGGTAAGACCAGTTTATGTCCACTCCAGTGTCGAACTCCACCGATGCTGTGCAGTTGAGGGCCAGGGCCTCCCCCACTATCAGCTCCACTGGATCCTCAGGAAACAGCTTGACATCGTAAACCTGACTTCCTGTCCGGGAAAGAGAAAAAAGGGGGGAGGTAGAAACAGAGGGACAGAGGGAGGGGAGACAGTGATAGAGGTCACGGTGACATCGTCAGCAGTTTTTCCTTCCTCGCAGGACCAGAGGAAATGACTTTCCTCTGGACCAGCGAGGCCATCACACTACAAAGAATATAAGTCTCACAAGTTCACGTTATTTCCATTCCTCCTACAAGCTATATATCAGTGAAGAAAATTAATACATAGACACTTTAATTCAAGATAAGAGGGAAAAAAGCAAGAAAGCTCTGGACACTGGCCATTGTCTCTGATATTCAAGCCACCTCTCTCTGCAGTCTCTAGAAATAACATGGGGTGTAAAAAAACAAGTATGCTGGTGATGTCTCTGCAGCAGACTGTGATTGCCTGATTGTTTAAATGCTCCATTAGCGTTCGAAGCGAAGACTCGCTCTCAGTTTCTCCTCTGACTGATGCTGATGTTACTTTTGGCCCAGCAGCGGTGGGTATGAGTTTCCTTTCACCCTCTGCAGTGAGAGGTGAATGATCTCACACGACATAAAAAAGAGCCTCTGGGTCCCTCAGAGTTCATTCGCGATGAGAGTGATCCTCGTCATGAAATCTCTTCATCTTAGTTCCCTACAATTTAATTAAGCCTCCCATTCTCTTCCTCTTCATCTCTTTTAATTCTGCTGACATAATGGCACACGTCCTTGCATTAAAAAGGGATTTGTATTTATTTTGGAGGAAACAATATTATGAAATTAAATCCATCAAATTGTCAGCATTAAGGCTTAATTGGCTGCCATGTAAAAATAATGTTGACAGTGCAGTCAGCCTGGCACCACCTTTGATTTCCTTTCTAATTTCTGTTTCAACAAAAGTACAGCTTCAAATCTCATTAAAATATTTGTACTGGGTCAGGTTTGCTTTTGTAGCTGCCTAAGCTAAGGTGTGTGTGGTCGTTAATGTTTTTTGCTGAAACACAAGACGAGATGATCAATTTTAACCTTTGGAGACATTATGTTTTTTGTACCTGTTGTGTGGAAAATGTAGCTAGGAGATTGATAGTCTTTGCCTCCTAGTGTTGCCCAACACAAAACTCCGATGAGCATTGGCACACTGGCCATGACGTTTCTGGGAATGGACCAACCTCGCTTGTTGTCCCATGACATCTTGTCAGTTTCCAGAGGCGTGGGATACTGAGATGACAAACAATAAAGTAAATAATTAAATATTTGACAGCTTCAATTAGAGGAACACAGTGTGAGAAATATGTGGTGAGTATACAAACCGCATGGAGAGTGACGTTCAGATCGGGCACCGTGACCAGGCATGGCACTATGACGTGGGTGGAGAAGTGGTTGATGAAAATGATCTCCATGTCGCTGCCTCTCTGGAGGAAGGGCTGCTCTGGGTCTGCGTGCAGATAGAAACAGGGAGGGAGCTGTTTAAGGGTAACCCTGATGCCAGCTGGGATAATGGCAGCTATTACTGAGAAAACATCATGAGCAGACAGCAATATATCTCACAGCGTCATAATGAACCCCATATAAAAGACACAGCATATGTGAGAGACAGCTGAGAGGTTTTTCCTCCCCTAAACAGTGCTTCTATATCCCTTAAGCTGTGTGTTAGTGGACAAATATCTCTCTTGTTTTTCTTCCTTAACACCTCGATGTCTCTATTTGTCTGTAAATCAAAGCTGATGTTACAAGAGGGCTCTGAGAGACATCACAGCCAGTGTGATACCAATTTTCATTATGGTTATTATCACTACAACACCTTCTAGTCCCTAAGCAGGAGTACAAAATGCTTATCTCTTAGACTTTCCTGTCAATACTTTTGTATCGGTTATTTTTCTTATTTCTCGTCTTCTCACGATAAGCCTTCTTATTATATTAATTTTTTTCTGCAGCAGTCAAAGCTATAACATCAATCATCTGCAAGGCCAAACAATGGCCCGATCGAGAGGCTTATATTTCTGCCCTGCAGCGTCCTGAATACACACAGGTAACAGAAACAATACACAATTCCTCTCAGTTTAAGTTCTTCACAATAAATCACTGCAGGTATTAGAGTGCAATCGGTTTTGTAAGAGGAGATGTCGCACCCGGGACAAGAAGAGGGATATGAGCCTGGGTATGAGTGTGAAAAAGTGTGTGTCAGATGAAGTATTTGTTGGTTTTAAATGAGCCTATGTGAAGCAGATACAGTGCATTCATACATGCGGGTCATACTGTACGCTCATGTGTTTTTATATGATAGTGTGCAGCAGAGACCAGGTGAAGGGGCGACGTCTGCCTGTCTAACTCAATCCACATGCGTCTCTTCTCCTCCCGCCACACGCTGGGTCTAATTTATGGCTGTGATTTCATCTGCTTCTGATCAGCCCCCTGCTTAGATCTGTGGAAACTGTTTTGGCACCTTGTCACAGGAGATAAACAGGCGTTTCACTTGAGTGGACTGGTCAGCAGGATTCCCTTACATGACAATCATCTGTTTCTCTGCAAATCTCCCTATCCCCTCCTCTATCTGCGTTCCTCCCACAGCACACGGAGCGAGGCTAGGAAAAGTGAAGAGGCCTGAAATGTGTCTAAAAGAACGAAGGTAGGAGTGATGCTTGGAATAATAATAACATATGAGACACTGTGAAATCAGGAGAGAAAACATAAGTAGCCAATCTTATTGTGCCGGTCCTATCAGATTTGACACATGAAAAGTCTCTCGCAAAGATAAATCCACAGAAAGCTGCTGCTATATTTCCATATTAATAAATTGAAAGCGTATCGTTTCTCTAATTAGAAAAGGAAATGAACTGCTAATTTCTACCACTATCAAACACTTTGCATCTCTAATTTCCGATAGACTAATCCTGCCCGCTTCCAGGTTGCTGCTGAGGCAAAGTCAACCATTTCCAGCTCTTATAACTTCAGTAATAAAGTTACAAGAGATCTGTTTCAGTAGGACACCTATGGATCTTTTAGGGTTGAAACTGAAGAAAAGGGTACACACAGACAAGCCAAAGAGCTGCCAAGGCAAGAGATCAAAAAGTATCTCTTTAACCACAGAAAAGGTTCAGGCAGCAACATCTCCACACAAATTGCAGACTCACTACTATATAAAATGGATTTCGAAAAAGGAAAGATAACTCATGGTCAGAAATACCAAGTTGACTTACAAGGATTTTCCTTTTTCTTTTTCTTGCGTCAGCATACAGTATGTGTGGATTGTTGGTGTGTGACTCACCCCTGACGAACACATAAACGCTGACGGCAGTGGTGCCGACGATGATGGCCTTGACATCCTTGTAGTAGCAGCGGTAGTAGCCCGTGTCTTTGGCCTGCGCCCCGTTCAGGATCAGCCTCTTGCAGTACGGCCTCCCGGGCTGCCCCGGACACTCGCTGACCAGGACCACCCTCGGCCCGGGAGTCGGGAGCTGCGCCTGGCGGTCTGTTAGCTCCTGGCCCACCAGAGTCTGATCAGGCCAGGCCCAGGCCAGAGTGTGCTGCCCCCTGACAGCACATGGGACATTTTGATTTAGAATCAGGTTCAGAGTGATAAATCATCAGCTTCTGGTCCAATTTCAAATAAAAGGATAGGTTAAAAACACACTTCAATATAATTATGGGTACCGTATCTGTTTGGCCTACTTGTTCTCCCGTGCTTTTTCAGAACACATATAAGACGTATCAGTCTGTGTTTTTGAAATTGGGGTTTTATATTTTGTTGTGTTTTTAAAAAAAATTACATTGTGTATGAGACTCTTTCAGTCTGTGGCTATATATATATATATATATATATATATATATATATATATATATATATATATATATATATATATATATATATATATATATATATATATATATATATATATATATATAGATAGATAGATAGATGGATAGATAGATAGATAGATAGATAGATAGATAGATAGATAGATAGATGAAAAAAATATATATATGTAAGAAATACAAATTTCCAGTAACAAATATAATGCAGGTTATTGTTGTGCAAGAATGGATTTTTCAATATTAAATAGAATATGAATGTTAAATGACCAGTGGGATTCTTAAGCCCCACGGACCCAGTTCCGGGGCCAAAATCGTGTCATTTGCAGGAAACAACGTCTAAGGAACCTTAATATGTAATAAACTATGAATATTTTATATCCATATAACGGGAAAAAAACTAATTTAACTGATCTTTTTCATTTTTATTTTTTTTTAAAACACACAATGCTAACAGTAACCCTCTGAATTAGCCCCGAGCGAAAAATGCTAACCTATTACTGCACCGAAAATCACTCCTAGTTCCCTTATTACTTATCCTAGCTGCACATCCAACACATCGTTTTTGATCGTAAAGACACAGAATCTAACGGTGCCCACCTCAACACTGAAAGATACAAACTCGCGATGTTATCAACAAAAACGTACATCAAAACATGTGGCGCTAGGTAGCCTAAAACCCTAACATGGCTTACCTAGGTCTTTGTCTGGTCAAAACTGGTCTTCAATGGCATTAAAACGATTTAAAAAAAACGATGCTGTAGTTAATCCATAGGTTAATATCCAATGTTACTGTGTCCCCTTTGAAATGTTCTGATAATCTATAAGCAATAAAACTGCAATTCCGTTTTCAAATATCAGAGCTCTGAAGAAAGATTGCATGCGCAGAGACACAACCTTTTTTTAACATGAGTGTGTGCGGGACGATTTCCCTTCGATTATATTGGCTCTAACGGTCAGGAAGAGATGTCACATGTCAAAATCGAACAAGGGGGGCCAGAGATATGGAAAATCCACCCAAATGGCCCCAGAAGAGGTTTTGCTAAATCTGTCTAAAAAGGTCAAATATCACTTGTTTTGCATCAATCTTGATACAGGGTACTTATTATATGTTGTACTTTGGATTACTAAAGCTTTTAGTCTACTAACCCATCATCCAAGGTTAGTTTTCACTCTAAGTACAAAATATTTTTTGGACGGACACTATAATTTATAATTTTTTACCATGTTCAATCTCAATTTTCTTTAAAATAAAAAACATCTATATAGATTCTGACTTTTCTACATCCTACTCACAGGTTTATCATTACTTTGAGAAAAAAGATTATTAATGTAACCCTTTTAGAAGGGAAGATATGGTCATTTGTTCTGGGAATGTCATTTTCGAGCCTGAAACCTGAAAAACAGGCTTGGGGCTTAACAGGGTATAAGGTTGTATTGTCATCCTCTTAAAAAAAATGTTTCTGTCCTAACGGTTTTGTCTAAATGTATTTATGCTGCTTTTTCTAATTTATTGATGTACAGCTCTTTGGTCAACTCGTTGTTTTCAAATGTGCTATATAAATAAAATTGGATTGGATTGGATTTTAAGCCGATTTGAAAAGTTATGAACATATTGAAAGTTTATTGTTATCTGTATTTATCACATTCTAACACATAAGGCGTCAGAATCATTTGAATCAGAATATTTCCTTAATCCAGAGGAAACTTGGGTTGTGTAACAGTTGCTCAATTTTAGAAAGAAACAAATAAAAAGGTAATTTAAAAACATTGAATATGTAAACAGGAAGTTAAAGTAACTTTTTGCACACTGTAGAAGTGTTTGTGTGACCGGAAACCAGTGTGTGAATGTTCATTTGTGTGGGTGTGAATTCCCTGTTTGCTCTATGCTTTGTCACATAAATTCAGTTATAGTTGGACGTGGTAACCCGGAGGCTTTATGAGTGAGATTGAGTGGAATCATAATGGCTGTCTGAGAACTGATAGCTATGCTCTCAACACCTGCAATCCCCTCCCTAACATGTATTTATAGTTCTCTAGAAACATTTTACATTGCAGATTACTAGTGTCGCTGGCCATGTGAGGTTTATATGCAAACAACTATTCAAGACATTCCAAAGGCATCATCAGCTTTCCAAAGACATCATGCACCACGGAGGAGGAAACGCTTAACGGAGTGACAGCTTGGCAGCAGGCAGCACAGCAGAGATCTCATAAGGATAAAGGATGCTTATTATGGGGCTTTCATGCCTCACTTAGACTCAGATTTAAATCAGTGTTGGCTGGGTTTTAGAACAAAAACGTTGCTGTTTCCAAAAGGACTCATCCATTTCATATATGGACTTGTGATGAACATTTATCAGCGTTGGAGGAACTGTTTAGTGTAAAATAGCAACAGCACCCTTAAATAATCAAGTAAAAGCCCTGCACTGAAAGCGTAAAAGTGCCAAGGGGTTTATAGCTAAATTAACTTGAGGTATCAAACTTTGTTCTGAGTGTTGCTCTTTTATATTCAAAAATGTATCAGCCAATTGATCTCTCTCATACAAACCACAAATTAGAGCAGCACGGACACACACCTGCATGTAATGGTGAGTGTTTGGTGGACAGGAATCACTAGGTCGTCTTTGGAGCTGTCAAGGATGGGTGGAGTCATAGAAAAGCCAATCACCAGACCTGAGGGAGCAAACAAGGCAATAGATTCATGTTACACAGATTACAACCAGGACCTACATGTCAGAGCTGCCGGTATGCTGTCAAATCTCCCAAACACATCTGTAAGCTGAAATATGACACGACAGCAGCTCAGATAGCACGTTGTTTATTACATTTACAAGCTGTAAGGCAAAGCACTAGGTTCCTGATACTGTGAAACACACAGAACAGAGAAATGATGGCCATAATGCTACTCTGAGCCTGTTTCCACCTCTGGAAAAGCCCATTTGCCCCTTGATTCATTGCCATTCACCCCACCTACTCAAGCTGGGTTAATATGGCCGGCTCAGAATATCATTACTGTCCCAGATTTTCCTCAGGGTGCTATAAGCGTCAGACTCCAAACCTACAGTTTATCATATAGAAAGTGTCATCATGACTTATGTCCCACCTGGATCTCATTAGAGCTGAAAAGGTACACAGTGCAATATCTGAGAGGGTGAAGGAGAGGCTTTATGGGCGTTTTCTATAGCATAGGAAACAAAGGAAGGAAAACAACCTCTAAATGCAATGTAATGTATTTTTTTAACATTGTAATCTTTATTTTCTTTTTCACATTACTTTGTTAAATTATTGACCCACAAATGTCGAGCATGTGTAATTCAGACAACAGGCTAAACGACAGACAGACCAAACAGAGGAGCAGCGAGAATGATTTCACAACAGTCAGTCGTGACCTGCTGCCAATCAAAACCCGGAGCGCCGGACAGCTGCGATTCTTGTAAACAAGCCTCATTCCTCCAACACATCCTGCTGCCCTGGGAGCACAATAGAGCAAGGTTTTCCTCATGTAAATATTTTTTGTTAATCCTGTTTACAGTAAAAGGCTGATCCCAATGGAAGGAGACTCATCAGCCTTGGCTACCTCCAATACTGAAGGAGCTCCCAGATAGCACTAACTGTGAGACTGTCTTGAGTTCAGTAAAGTATTGACATAAGAAACTTTAACACAATGGAAACAAATGTTTAGTCCACCTTTTCTTGACCCGTTTTGTGTATTTCTTCTTCCTTGAGACTTTCCGAATGACTTGAACACAATGCTTTTATTATTTGCATGACAATGGCCAGGTTTCTGCTGCACTGCTGAAATTGTTCTTCTCTGAGCCAATTAAATGAAGAAAGTGTATTAAAATATATAGAAAATGCAATATAATGAGACAAACCTTTAGACATTGGTGACTTGATAAGTTTTCCTTTTTACATCAATATTTTATAAATGTATTTGTTAGAATAGTTATAGTTTTCCTGTTGATATGAGAAGATGATAAGATCAACTACTCGTATAAATGTCTGTACTCCCATTTGATGTAGATGTATTGATAATATGTACAGTATAAATGTAAATGTTTAATCAGTTTAATGCAGACTAATGTACATGTCTTGTACTGTCAGAGTGACTCTGCCGGTTGCCTGGCAACCTCACCGTATCGACAAAACTAGGGATTACGTTTTTTGTTGTTGGGATTAGACAAACGAGATAAACAACGTGTTAATTAGAGAGCTTTAGTGACTGTTAGTTCAATCCACAGATTTGACACATCAAAGTCTGTTTATAGGTCTTAGGGAGAACTACTTCAGATGTGAAGAAAGTTTTATAAGTCCTTTTGTGTCGCTAGTGGAGGCTGTGCAGAGTCTGATAAAAAATAAAACACTCATCTCTGCTCAAGGGGTGATGTTCCCATCGATAGCAGGAATGTTTGGAGAGATTTGGATAATTTAACAGATTTGGTTTGCCAATTAAGTTAAAGAAATGCGTATGACAATTTTACACAGATATCCGTGCAATGAATTAGTTCCCAATTAGAGTTACCCTTTATGTTCCTTGTGCATTAATGAGGTTCATTACATGTCAGCCAACATTGCCAGATGATGTCAGGATTTTAAGTGGTTTATATCTTTTTTGTGAGTATGTTTGAAAGGTAAGAACAATGTGTGTAATAAAGAATTATATGCTGCATCAACCTTTGTCATCTCTTCTTCTTATTATTATTATTAATGGCTTTTATCATCTCATCTGTGTCTGTCATATATTGAACTATAGTGCTTTATTGTCACAGGTGTTGAACGTCTTTCTTACAAAATATTGATCACATTGCAAATATATGTTTTGATCTCCGCTGGGGATTACAACTGTATCAACGACACCATATGGCATTATGTGTTTCTGTCTTTGCTCGGATAGTAAAAGTGATCATAATGCAAATATAGAACCATGAATGTGAACCAGGACAGCTGATATGGTCATTCTGACAGAAAACAAACACACAACACTAAAGTGGGAAGTATTGGTCAGTCCATGAATCAATCGTAGCTTGACTCCCAGCAGGGTATTCCTTCCTTACCCTCACAGAGATCTTTAACACCAGAGGAGAAGCAAAGTTTTCCCAACATATTGTCTCAGCTCAGATGTGAACCCGCCACCAGATTCAGGCCCATCCTCACAACACAGCTTCTCCCTCACACCTGAAATACAGTGAAGCTACACTAGGCTGTGTAACATAAACACACACAGAGGTCGACACAGAGCCCTCCAAGAGCTATGGACAAGGGGAAAGTGTGAAAGGAAATTCCTCTCAGAATAGCTTACATCTTCACTATTATTGGAACAGCACATTTCCTTCACACGCTCAAGAAGGAGAACGAGAGCGATCATACAGATAAGCGCTGGAACACAACTTCTATAAAGTTCTCTTCCTGTATAGACTGAAGACCCTGCTGTTTTCCTCGGGGTAAAGAGTGAGGGCATTATGTCAAAACTTGGGAGGTTTTTAATTTCTGCATAGCATTACAATTCCAGCCATAGCGACGCCTTGAACTACAGCGTACACTACTCTTGTCCGTACAATTTACTAAGTGCTGCGTACAGTATGCCGCAGTTCTTTTTGCGTGCTGCCATTTTTTTTTTAGTCTGTGTTGAACACTATTATATTACAGATTTGTTCTTATAATCAGTTTATTATCCACTCAGTTAAATGGAACTTTGATGAGTTTGTACAAAACAACATGCCGTATTATGCAGTGGAAATGCGTCATATGTGTACTGTGATAGGGGTCGATCATATGAAGTAACACTTAAAAACTACCTTTTTATATCTGCTCTCTGATCTCTCGACGAATTGAAAGTACATATTGCCTGAGATCTCATGATGTTGTTTTATTAAATGTGCCAAGTGCTAGGACTGTCTTAGGGAAGAAAGCTTTTAGTTGTGCAGCTCCACTAAATTGGAACAGTCTGCAAACATGTTTAAAACTGAGCACTTTGGTTCCCCTGCATCATTTTAAAACTCAGCTGGGTGACATGCTGTTTGATACTCATGGTACCTGTCTCTGTAAATAGAGTTTGTAAACTGTACCCTGTACATTATGTTGTATGTCATCCTTATTGTTGTTCTGTTGTTTTTATGTTACATGTGTAACTAATGTCTTGCAGGTCACCCTTGAAAAAGAGATATTTTGATCTCAAGGGGCTTTCACCTGGTTAAATAAAGGCTACAAACAAACAAACTCCCTTTTGGCTCTATGGTGTTTTTTGGCTTGGTGAAGCTGACAATTGAGCGGCCCGACCAAGCAAGGAGGCAGAGGCAGAACGTCCAAAAATACACAACCCGGTGTGTGGGCATTTATTTACTCATACACATATGATATGACACAGCCTCAATCTGCTGCTCCTGTGCGCACAGCCACCACACTACCAGCCTCCTAAACCCCCTAATCCCACCAGGAGCGTCTGCGCTGCGTTGCACTGCGTTGCGCTGCGTTGCGCTGCGGCTGCGGCGTTTTTAGCGATCGCGGCCACTCTAGTCAATTATGGGTGCTATTCCACCAGACCCGCTGCGCCGCAGCTCGAAGCGTCCCAGAAGCTCCTCGCCGCAAGCAATTTCTAAAATATAGGATGAATCCTATTTTTTACGTGGCGCAGCGAGGCGCAGGCAGGAAGTGGAACGTTCATCCAACAACTGTGAGGCTGCAAAACACGACGCTCCGCTTCCGCAACGTTTTGAAACGCGCCTGGTGGGTTATGACGCAGGAGGAGGGATCAGGGGGTAACAGACAGGGCTACAGAGCCTAAATACACACCCACACTAATCAAACCAACAGGACACATGAGGGGGGAGGAGACAACACAGGGCACCAGGTGCACACAATCAGCAACAGACATGGGGATAGGGGAACACTTTTCAACATAAAACCAGGAAACAGAGACAGACAAACTAAAACACAGACAGATGCACAAACCTAAATACACTTTGCCACCAATGAAGCTACAGAATCCGTAACGGAGGCCGAGATCTATGACCCCAGAGATCACCTCCGTTACAGGCTTTTTATCAGGTCATTTTATCGGTTTTGATTCACTTGGATGGAGAACTTCTTGCTTTAAAGCCATTCTGTGTAGAATTGAGACCAACCATGGCTCCCCCAGTGATTATTATTATTACAAAACATTGAATTGGGCAATACACGCTGCCACCATCACCTTCTAATTTATTCTACATGAAAAGACGAATGCCATCAGAAGATTTTGAAAGATAACATTTTTATTTTGTATAATCTAAGGACTCATCTCCCAGGCAAGGCACTACACATTAACATAAAGTCTGTTCAACAGTTAATACATATTATTATGGGAACATATCAAAGAAAACAGTGGTGTGACAGGGTTTTCCTCCCGAGAGACGTGTTCTGCGCTAAATCGCTACAGTCTCCATGATGGATGCTTCCCTCACAATCAGTGCAGAGATCGCACTCTGACAGACAGGATGCAAATTGTAAATGTTTTTAAAATGCCATGATTGACTGGCATGCCTTGAGAGACAACACATCAAGATTCTGGAGGTGTATGGTGGGAGGGAAGCTAAACAAATATGTAGTTGCTATTAAGGGAAGATTTCAGCTTCTGTTATTTGAAATGCTTAAGTATAACAAGATGGATCTATCACAGCATGGCAAGAGTGTCTCAC